GAGTAACAGCCCCCTCACAATGGCTGTGTGTGGGTCAAAAGGTAGGGTTGATCCTTCAAATTAGCACCTATCTCTGTGACCAGTAAATAGATTCTGCTTAGGCATAATTATTGTCTTGTTCCCAGCAGCAGGAGTTGGTGGCATCCATGCAGAGGCCAAGTTCTAGCTAAGAGAGATCAGTCTAGTCCAGGGGTAGGCATTGGCTCTTTTATGACTGGTGGACTTCAACTCCCAGAATTCCTGAGCCAGCATGGCTCAGCTTGGAAACTTCTCCCTTTCCCCTCAGTGTGGCTGGCTCAGGAATTCTGGGAGTTGAAGTCCACGAGTCATAAAAGAGCCAAGGTGGCCTACCCCTGGACTAGTCTAAGTTGGAAAGTGGACCGCAAGTGGATAGCTCTATGGGTGTTTTATTGGTTGAAATTCTTCCTATTGATATGAAAAGAAGTTGTAGTTCCGTTCTAAAGTCAGGTGTAACGTTGGGCATAGCCATGGACTGTAGCACAGACCGTTTTGCTTTATCTATCTGGAGGAACTGTGTTGACCATATTGATGGAGAGATGGAAATTCAGCTGGGAGATACATGTACATTTTTACCGACCTCGGAAGGATGGAAGGCTGAGTCAACCTTGAGCCGGTCAGGATCGAACTCCTGGCAGTGGGCAGTGAATTAGCCTGCAATACTGCATTCTAACCACTGCGCCACCACGGCTCCTAAGTTAAGTCGCAGCACGGAAGATTTATTAAGCCTATTCACAAGAATCTAGTTCAGGGCTCCTCAACCTTGGCACCTTTAAGACTTGTGGACTTCAATTCCCATCTTTGCTGGCTGAGGAATTCTGGGAGTTGAAGTCCACAAGTCTTAAAAGTTGCCAAGGTTGAGGAGCCCTGACCTAGTTAACTAAAATTAAACACTAAATTGGCGCCAAGTAAGGATCAACAGAATTCAAAGGGGTTGAACTTGGATTATTTGGGCAACATCAGGACTCTGAGCTGATGACATGTTTAACTCTGCCTCCTGCTCTAGCTTTTCCTGCTCTTCTCCACACTTCACCCTAAAACCCTGAGTTTTTTTGGGTAGGCTCTTCTCTAACCATTAACCAGACCTGGCCATATTTTGTTTTTGTTTTTTGTTTTTTTAAGCTCAGCTGGTGTGGTCACAATCAGAGGTTAAGATCCTCACCAGAAGCATTTATTCATAATTAGTGCAACGTTGTAGGATCGTGGAACAAGCTTCCTGTATTGACCTTTGATGCTTTACTTATCGTAGTAGAGTAGGGGGGAAAAACAGTGTGATAACATGTTGCTTTCGGTCAACGTTGCTGACCTTTCTTGTTGTCATTTTCTCCCCCCCACCCTAATAGGATCCTTTATCAATATATCCCAGATGATTGCTTGTGTAGGTCAACAAGCTATCAGTGGCTCACGGGTGCCCGATGGCTTTGAAAATCGGTCCTTGCCTCATTTTGACAAGCATTCCAAGGTAAGGAATCTGGGAGTTAGATAGGACTTCGGCAGTATTGTGGAACGAGGCAGTGTGGGTTCGAATCTAAGATATGATGAAGGTGGACTTTTGATCCAACTGATGCTTCCTATAGATCAGGGGTAGTCAACCTTGGCTCTTTTATGACGCGTGGACTTCAACTCCCAGAATTCCTGAGCCAGCACAGCTGGCTCAGGAATTCTGGGAGTTGAAGTCCACGCGTCATAAAAGAGCCAAGGTTGACTACCCCGGCTATAGATTCTACACACTGTTCATGTGGCGTTTCTGAAAAATTCGTGAGGCTAGGCAAAGATATTGGATAGCTTACCAATTCTGATGACAAGCATGGGTCCTTTGAATTAGATTTTGCCCCTCTTCCAAGGAATACGCCATCAGAAGCCTTCGTATTTGACCCTCGTGGGGAAACTTAGTCCGATGTGCTTAATGGCCGAAGGGCAATTTGAATCTATACCCACCAGTACTATTATATTAGCCAGGCTGACCGTGGAATTAGACCCTACAGCAATATATTTCAAAAGTCTTCCTTTTTTTCAGCTTCCAGCCGCTAAAGGTTTTGTTGCCAACAGCTTCTATTCTGGGTTGACCCCCACTGAATTTTTCTTCCACACCATGGCGGGACGGGAAGGCCTTGTTGATACAGCTGTAAAAACAGCTGAAACGGGATACATGCAGGTAACTGGAGGCTCTTGTCTATAGGAGAACGATCCGGGTAGCCAAGTAGAAGTGTTTATTCTCCTTTAAGTCAAGGATTTTTTTTTCCCCTGCCAACAAATTCCAGTCTCTCGTCTCCATTCTGGTTTTGGGTCTGAGGGTAAAGAAAGAAAAGAAATAAGGAAAGAACAAACTGTTATATCCACGGTTCTTTGCTGTGGATAGATAGATAGATAGATAGATAGATAGATAGATAGATAGATAGATAGATAGATAGATAGATAGATAGATAGATAGATAGATAGATAGATAGATAGATAGATAGATAGATAGATAGATAGATAGATAGATAGATAGATAGATAGATAGATAGATAGATAGATAGATAGATAGATAGATAGATAGATAGATAGANTACAAGAAATGTGATGAGTACATCGAAGCCTTGAAGACCGGTAAGCTACAGCAGCAGCCTGGCTGCACGGCGGAGGAGACACTAGAGGTTAGTCGTAATCCCACTTAAAAATTTTATTTATTCTTGTATTAAATGTATTGGCCGCCCATCGCGCCATCAAGCGGCCCCAGGTGACTTCCAGTAAGATAAAAACTAACAGTGCAAAACATTAAAATGATGAATATTAACATTAAAATTAACAAAAATAGCTAAGGAAGGAAGCAGTGTATAAATTAATGAGTAATGTTCATGTCAAGTTCAGACATGGGATCCAGCAAATAAAATAATAACAAGAAAACAACAATAAACAACAACAACAATAATAATAAATTCGCCATTAGTCAATTGCAAAAGGCAGCCTTACTAGGAACTGCTTCCATCCTGCGACAATATCTGTAATACCATCAAACATCCACATCTGCCTATCCCAGGTCCTTGGGAAGGACTTGATAGGTAGACAAAAATGCCAAATCCAGTCTGAACATCTGGCTGACTGTGCGATGATCAATAATAATAATAATAATAATAATAATAATAATAATAATAATAATAATAATAATAATAATAATAATAATAATAATAGAGTTGGAAGGGACCTTGGAGATCTTCTAGTCCAACCCCCTGCTCAGGCCATTTCAGACAAATGGTTCCCCAGTCTCTTCTTAAAAACTTCCAGTGTTGGAGCTGTTTTACCTTTAGCAGCATTGTAAAGTCTGCAGTGGGTGCAATGTAGCCGTTAAAATTCATATTTATTACAATTTGAAATTGAAGAATGAAGCCACGTTTCTTGATTCTCCTTGCCAAAGAAGCTATGTCCTCTTTTAGTTCGGAAAGGAACACTACAGGACAGATTTCTTACCATTAGTAATCACTCACTGTCTTATCCACTGGGAAAATTCAGAGCAATTAAATCTTTTTGGTCCATTATTGTGAGGCGTTTCATTCAATTCCAAACAAATACGTATTGGGCTGCTATCTCAAGCATAATGTCAGCGTCCGATTAGAATAAGTGAAATGAAAACGGTCAAATACTTGCAAGCCTGGCTGGTTAATTGACTCTTTTTGCTAGGCCCTGATTCTGAAGGAGCTGTCCGTTATCCGAGACCACGCTGGCAGTGCCTGCCTCAGAGAACTCGACAAGAGTAACAGCCCCCTCACAATGGCTGTGTGTGGGTCAAAAGGTAGGGTTGATCCTTCAAATTAGCACCTATCTCTGTGACCAGTAAATAGATTCTGCTTAGGCATAATTATTGTCTTGTTCCCAGCAGCAGGAGTTGGTGGCATCCATGCAGAGGCCAAGTTCTAGCTAAGAGAGATCAGTCTAGTCCAGGGGTAGGCA